ATCAAGCAAAACACGTCTTGCCAGTTGAAGGCTTTAATGGAACTAAAGAAAGAAAAAGACAAGAGTGAGCTGGCGCTGCCACGAGGCCAAGCATCAGCTCGTGAGGAGGCTCAATAATGATGATGACTGCTATTCTGCTGCGAAAGATGAATAAAGGAAGTCACAACAGACAACACCTTGAAAAAGTGCATATTGAATACCAGTGTTTAATATGTGTTTGTTGGTGCCATCTTTCCCAGGATGCACGATACGCTGTGTTCACGTATATGTTGAGAACAACTTCAGCTTCTACTACAGTGAAATCATATGATAATGAGCATTAGCCGTCATGACGGTGATGTGCTACTAGGCATTAACGTGGATGCATCTATGCAAAACAATGCTATAGCGGCCACACACCAGTAGACATTGTACAAGCTCTTATATTAATACACCATAAACAATCAATTACATCGGTGACATCACATTTCACTTGCATGCTTGCATGCCATACTGATTTTTATGACAGGGGGATGAGCCATGCTTTTTTTTGTAGTTCTGTTTTGAAAAACGCTTGACATACAGAGCCGATTTTGGCTGACTTATTCACACTGGCTCGACATACACCTGAGCCAGCATATCTTTGGAAGACACAGACCACTACAATAATTTTTATGAATATTTGGTGTCACAGATTAGTGTATAAGTTTGCCAGTATCAGACAAGAGGTCTGAATTGTCAGTTTTACCAAATTAATATGGGTGGAATGAACGAGCTCTTAGCAAGCCAAATGAGGAGGCCATCCATTACCAACAGAATCAAGCTGTGGAGTCTGATACAAAAGTAGAAAGGAAGCTCTTAAATCGTGCAGCAAATCCCTGTATTATCACCTTGCTCTAGGCAGTGTAGGTGCATGTAAAAGGGCTTTCAGGCGAAGCTTTTAGGGGCGATGCTGCTTTAGCTAGGGCTTTGTCTCCCGTTGGTGCTGTATCCGCTAGTTCTCGTAGCTCTCTCTAGAGGTGCAGCTGTGCTCTATACGGGCATTTCAACTGTGCTCACTAAATGGCACACCACCGCTCAAGATGGTGCACTCTCGGCACTAGCCTTTGTTGTGAACACCAAAGAAGACAAGGCGGTAGAGAGGAGGGCTCGCAAAGTAGCTGCAGCGCGAGCTTGCGGTCAAGACCCTGTGGTGAGAGTTCGCGAAACGAAAGTGGCGCAGGCTCGTTGACAAGTGGCCCGTAGCTGAGGGCCCGCGAGGCCATAGCGAGGTGTCAGCGCCGGCAGCAAGCGCAAGCCACCACCGATCCAGATGCGCCAAGGGCTCGCACAGCCAAAGGGGAACAGCCACAAATAGAAGTGTACTCGAAGCTGAGAGCCCGCAAAGCCAAAGCGAGACTGAAGCAGCGACAAGTGGGCCGGTGTTTCTGTGTCACGTCTTTGTATGATGATCTAATGAGTAAAATGTGCAGAGGATTCACGGTTAGCCTGATTACCTCCAGAGCTCCACTCGCTCATCGTCATTTAGTTTGTGGATATGCGGGGATTTTTCGTTTGAAGTGGACGAAGATGCATAATGAAAGGCTTGTAAAAGTAGACATTCTTTGTGCAAAGAGGCCTGCCAATTTACACTTCACTAGAAGCACTGCATGACTAAGGGATTGTGGCTTCTTTGCACAACCTCAAAATTAATTCTTATTGCCGCATATCACAGCATGTTTTCTCTTGGGCTACATGTTGAGAGTTTTGACTATTCTCGTGTGCTTGACAGCTACATGAAGACTGCTAATAAGAAAAATTGTGCAAAGAAAGCCCCGCAGCTTTTCCACATTTGCTTCATAGCGTGTATTATAACTCATTCATAATAATATAAGCCCGTGAAAAAGTTTATTACAGTTAAGCAATGGTGATGGTGCTGTTTTTGTAAGCACTGGTTTTCACCTTTCTCTGCTCTCAAATTATTGTACTTTGTATACACCTTAAATGCTTTGATGACAGGATTTTATTAAGAAGGGCCATAAATGACATATCGTCTTAGTGCAGTGATAATGGCTTGCTGATAATTGTTCAAAAATAATAGTGTTTCCACAGGTTATTTGAACTACTATTTCTTTTTGTCATTACTTTTGGTTTTGGAAGCCTCTTGATTGGTGCAGGTACCTAACACAAATATTTAGGGGTCTTCATTCGCATCTATTATAGGATTATCACATAAAGACATTGATTCATTGGTAAATGTTAAGGGTCTCTTGGAAGTCTAATCTGAAGAATACAGGCCTCTGGCTTCATGATTTGTTCGAAGTTGTCATTATTTGGGCTGCATATGGGTTATACCTAAAAAAAAAGATGCCTCACAATGAAAAACATCTGAGATTGAAGAGTTTTTTTATATTTAATGCTATATGCAATAACCATGCCCGTTACGTCAAATAATCAAATTCATCTGGTTAATCTTTTTACTTGTCTTTGTAAACGAACATGCTGGGAATTTTGCTGTTGCCTTGTAACCGATTCACTTGTAGAGTACCATGTTTGGTGAGAACCACTGCTTTTCATCGGTTTGTTTTTCCAATCAGCAGCTGCGAAGCTGGAACATTTGCTACTACTTTTTATGGCTCTTTAATTGAATGTAGGAGAACTTTTCATGCTAGTGATAGTTGAAAATAATCATACCGACAAATGTAACAGTACGTAAAAATGAAAAGGATGACACAGACAGAGTGTAAAGAGCGCTGAGTTCCAACTGTTTTATTCCGCTGACAATACCAGGTATAAATACATGGGCAGAACCAGCAGGTAAAGAAAAAAAAAAAACTAAAGCAAAGGAATAACACTATCGGCAGGTAATGCACTGGGTGATCGCGACAAGTCTTACCCCCGTATTCAGAAACGCTGCTTTAATTGAACTTGACTTGCCCTCGACTTCAATGCAGCACAAACGCGTTTCAAACCCACTGTCTTTAGGTGGTGCCAAGGCAGCACAAATGCACAGATGCGTTTCAAATGTGCTGCATTGAAGGCGGTTGCAACTCAAGTTCAAGTCAAGAAGCGTTTCTGAATATAGGGGTTAATCACCAAGTTCTTAAAAACCTTAGTTCATCTTTGGTCAGTGCAAGCAATGGCAAGCTGAGACGTCCCTCTCCCGTGTGAAAACCATATTTCCATAGCTTGACAACGCCGTGAACACCCACAACAAAGAAACATCGTGGCGATATTTTATTTGCATAGAAAGAAGTCGTTCAGGATGTTTCACATGGTGGAAAGCAGTAACACAGTATGAGCTGAAAAATACAAGCAGATGCAACAATAAGTAGTGAAGAAAGTAGATTAAAATACGTGATTTATGTTGCAGATACAAAATGAATGAAAACATATTGCAATATCAGATACAGTATACTTAGAGCACATGGTCATCTTATTATAATTATATAACATAACAACATTGAGATAATATTTTAATTGAACAAGAAACAACGCAAATATGTAGTGATGTGTGGAAGCAGCACAAAGATTGGGCGAGAGGAGGTAGTAATCATAAGCGTCTTGGTAAAGAAAATAGTCAAGAATAGCCTTTTTAATAGTGTTCTCTAAAACCACGTTTTTTCTGCATAAAATATTTAGAAGTTGGGGCAATTCATTTTCTTATAATTGCCAGCCATACTGTTCTAAAAAATTCATTCATCATTATGTATTGAAAAACCTGGAGGATGCTTGAGCTTTGCCTTAAAGAGTAAAATGCGATAGTGCCATTGGACGCTGTTCTCATTGCTTTCTCAACTGCTAGCCTGGCTTTGCCACTCGGCGAACGCCTAATCCAAGTGACGCAAGAAAAGGAACGTCTGTGTGCACAAGATTGGCTCTTTCATGGTAATATTTCGTGCAGGGAATTTTCGTCTGTCATTTTGAGCCAAAGGGAATCTTCGTGATATTGCACGGAATTTCAGGAATGGTTAAATTCTCCTATGACGACCGATAATTAGCGGTCACAGTGCGCCTTCATCTGCTGTAATCGGTCCTGACGCATGGACCACGGAAGCGTGGCCTTTGTGATTTGTTTCTGATGTTTATGCGCTGTGATTTCTAGTTCACTAGTGGTGTTGAATGTGCAGTGTACTAACTGTATATGAATGAATAAAGTCATGCTTTTGTTGTGTGGTAGTGGAGGGGCTACTCATGATTTCAAAAGTTGCCGCTGCATCAAACACTTGTAATTATAGTATGTGTGTGTGTGGATGGGGGCGAAAATTAGTATTGTTGTGCAGGGAAATATGCTGGAAATTTCGTGAATGTCTGAAAGGAAAAATTCCCGAAATAGGAAATTTTCGTGTCTCTAAATGGCAATTTTTCGGCGTATCACGAAACATCACTGCCCTTTCAAACTAGCCTAAAATTTATATTGTAAATACAGTTTTGAAGTGCCCACTATGACATAGTTAATCTTTTTTGCGGGTTTTTAATGTAGCCGCTAAGGCTGCACGTTTATAATGATAGTTGATTGTGCCTGTGTGTTTTGCAATTTGTGGGCGTGTAAACAAACCATTCATTACACTATTCACATCTTTTGACACCCAGTGAGATTCCATGCTTCTGCCACAAAACATTGCATGTGTTTATAACAATCTTCACACTACATTCGAGTGCAGGTGTTTGTGCTTGGTAGAACACCTGCTTGCCATGCATAGGTCTTGGGTTCGATTCCCACACAAACGAAAAGTTTTTAATTTCGTTATTTGCATCTGTCTCAAATTTTCGATTGCAAACAATGCTTTGTTTTTGCCTACAACCAATGGCGTTGACACTGCAATTTCTGAGAAGTGAGCTGTTTAACTTTTTGCCCAATACCTGATGACCTGTTTGCCCTATTTGTGGACGACCCTGTACCTTGTGGTGCTGAGGCCTATTGGGGTGACTCTTAATGTCACCTTTTGACATTTTAATTAAGTCATGTACAGTCAACCAAACAAAAAATGAGCTTGCTGAGCCATTTGTTTATGAGGATTTTCATTTGTTCACATTTGCAGATCCACTGGTACAGAGAAGGAGGAGTTGATCCGAAGTTTCGAAACCTCATTTATGCTAATACTGTGATTATACACCTGTTCTGCATATCTGCCATCACTTATTTTGTTCATGGTTGTTAGAGGGTGTTTTAGAATGTGCTTGGGTAGGCAGCACACTGCTCGGTGGCTTATCTTTGAGTTTCTGTTGAAGGCAGACTTCCCGCTCTGTTTTGAAAGATGAAGTCAGTATGGGCCTCCATCCAAGTGGTTACATTCAGCCTTGTATGTGATCTGTTAACATAATGGCTAAGAGATCCATATTTACTACAGAAAAGTTATTATGCAGTTCATTAGTAGGCACGTCGTCACACAGCACTTGTCATTAGAGCTGATTGTTTTTTTTTTTTCTGAACTCTTTGTCAATGTAACACGGTACGAGTATGATCTGGAATCACCACATGTCGAAGTATCATTCACACTTGCAAGCACGACCATGAGGCCATTGTGTATTTCCGTTTCTGGTTTTTTGAAACATGAGAAGCATTTCTTTGAATTATAAACGCCCATTGTTTTTCAATTGCTTAGACCATTCTTATATACTAATTATAATAGTGTGCAACTGTACTCTATACAGATGGTGCCTTATTTACGCATTTGATATGAAATGCAGGAACAGCCAGGTGGAGAGGGAAGAAAATGTTTGCGCAAAAACGACTTGCATGTGCCTTAAACCTAACAGTGTGATTATGGATATGGTGTTATTTGTTGAAGCAAGCATAGGTCTCAAGTAAATCTTGCACTCAGTGCGGATGTTTGCCACTGCATTCTAGGAGGGCTAGCCTTTGCCTTGCGAAGCACTACATTCCCGGCATCCTATACGATACTCTTTACTTTTATCCTCATCGTCATTGCACAAAAGCGTCATTGCGCTAGTACTTGTAAAAGGAACAAGTTTCTGTACTTCCTACAGTTTCTTCTTTTTTTTTTGGTAGCTACCCTCTCACGGTCATTCAAGTGAGATATTTCTTGAAATTTCAATTTTTCACTGAGTTTTGATTTGGGGAATTAAAGATGTTTAGGAATATCTTATCTGAAGTGTTTTGAGTGATTCATTGTTGTGTCTTATATTATTTGAAAGAAACAGTAAGACTTTTAAAGGGACACTAAAGGCAACTGTTTAGTCGACGTTGATTGTGGAAATGGGGGTTCAGAAACCCCATAGTGTTAGTTTTGTGCTAAGGAAGTGCTTATATTGAAATAAAATCGCGTTGTTGTGGTCCACATAGGGTTAGCGTGCTTCAAATTACCCTCCTCAAGCAGAACGTCTCATGTCACTGTTGCCGTGCACAACAATGCCTGGCTTTACTGGGCAGCACAGCCGCCTACACTAGTAGCGGCAGAACAAAAGCAGTGGGAGCAACACCGCCAACAATGGCCATTGGAGAATTTCCTGCCGTTGGCTTCGGGATGCAAGACGTGCTTGGTTCAACTGGGCCCTGCTAGATGGCGCGACCTGTCCAGTTTAACCAGGCGAAAATTGAAATTTTGAACCACTCGCGTTATTTCTCATGTTAATGTCCGACGGTTATTTTTTCCATAAATGAAGCAGAAACGAACAAGCAGCAATTTATTATGTCTCTTGATTCATGGAAGGTTCTTTATTTAGTGCAGCCAGTTCGATTATTATTGATTATTTGTAGGCTGTAACTCTGACGTCATCAGGATCTTTTTGATAATGTCCCACTACGGCGCATGTATTCTTGTGCATTTACCTCGATTTCTCGGTGAATAAAACACTGCTTTTGAGAATATTTATCGTTTTAGATGTTGTCATACATTGAGCTTTTAGTCTCGCGTAAATAATTATTTGACTTTAGTGTCCCTTTAAGCATTAATACTTTGGGCACATTCTAAATTTATGCAAACTTTTCATGTCTGCAAGTTGTTCTTCAAGATCTTGTGAATGATACTTTTTATGGTATTTGATGTATTTGCTACTAAATGGACACCTAGACAGTTGTCTGAGTTCAAAGGAATTCCTTCACGAATCAAACTTTCACCAGTGATGGGTGCTGATCGATGTCTGAAGTGGGCTTTATTACAGACTTCTGAACAACGTTCCAGAAAGAAGCCTGTTCTGACAAATAGTTAGTATCAATCTCTTTTATTATGTTAGAAAGTTTCAACTGCGGGCTTGTCGAGATTCACACGAGACTTGATGGCAATCATATTGTTACGTTTAAAAATGTGTTTATTACGCTGTGGCGTACTGGTAGACTTAAAGGGGTCGTGCACCGGAGGCCTGTCACGCTAGCCGAACATATCATGCTAGCCGAACATCCTCTTCTCTAGTCTGCCTGTTCCCCGCTACGCAGAGGCTCATACCCAAATCGCATATGCATAACATTTCCCTCCGTGCAGACGAAGCCCACTGGGCAAGTTAAAGAGTCTCTCTGGGAATATAGAGCTTCAAACGTGCTATATGGACAAGTTCAGTCTTTGCGGATCGTTGGCCATTTGAATGAAGATGTGCTACGCAGTAAGTTACATCGCTTATGCAGTCTAGAACAACATAAGGTCCCGCATAGTGTGCCAGCAATTTTTCACACAACCCACGTTTTCTATTTGGCGTACACAGCAACAGGTGGTCACCGCGATTATACGTCACGTGTCGACGTTGACGGTCAAAACGCGTCTTCGAGTGATCGTAGCTGGTCGTAGCATAGTTCTTTTTGTACACAAGCCCGTCGCTAATGCAGAAGCGTGTCGCCGATGGTCTTGACTCGGTAGGAAGGAGCTCCTGTATGGTGCGGTCTTTTTGCTGCTCAATCTTAAAGACGTTGGTATCAGGAAATGGCAGGTCCAATGGCGCGATTTAGGTGTCGAAGTTGCCCGCGTCGCAGTTTGTCGGTGGAAGCGGTAATCGCAAAAATGATCTGCATCAGGGTGACGACGACCACTTTTATAGGAAACCGTAAAGTCGTATTCCTGCAGACGGAGTGCCCAGCGTGCTGGTCGACCAGATGGGTCATGCAGATTGACCAACCAGCAGAGTGAATGATGATCTCTCATGATGGTAAAGGGGTGTCCGTACAGGTAGGACCGGAAGCGCTGCATTGCGAAGACTACTGCGAGGCATTCTTGCTCTGTGATGGTATAGTTACGTTAGGACTTGCTTAGCGGGCGACTTGCATACGCAACAACATGTTCTTTAGTATCCAAGCGTTGAACCATCACGGCGCCTACACCGACACCGCTAGCGTCTTGTGAAGTTATGTGGGAGCCAGAGGATCGATGTGTAGAAGAATCGGAAGGAGGCACGTGAGTGGGTGCGCGATATTGGCAAATCCAGGGATGAATTGACGGAAGTATGAGCAGAGGCCCAAAAAGCTGCGTAGTTCTTTCGCCGAGTGAGGTTGCTTCAACGCCTCCACTGCAGCCGTTTTCACGGGATCCGGCCGTATGCCTTCTTTGTTCACCAAGTGTCCAAGGACAAGTGTTTGGCGCTCTCCGAAACATTTCTTTGAGTTGAGCACCAAGCGTGCTTTTCTTAGGCAGTTCAGCACGAGGTCGAGGCGTGTGTTGTGCTCACAGAAAGTGCGCCCAAAAATCACAACATCGTCCAGATAACACATGCATACTTCCCACTTCAAACCACGCAGAATGTTGTCCATGAAGGGCTCAAAAGTTGTAGGCGCATTGCATAGTCCGAATGGCATCACATTGAATTAAAGTCTATCGGGTGTAACAAATACCGTTTTCTCTTTATCTTCCTTGTGCATTGTAATCTGCCAATACCCTGACCTCAAATCAACAGACGAAAATTAGAAGGCTGATGAGACAGTCTATAGCATGATCAATACGTGGTAGTGGGTACACGTCCTTCTTTGTGATGGTGTCGAGATAGCGGTAGTCAACGCAAAATCGCCATATTCCATCTTTCTTCTTGACCAATATTACGGGAGCGGCCCATGGACTGCATGCTTCCTGAATCACATTCTTCTTTAGCGAACGGCGCCGGGTAGTAGGATGAACAAGTAGGCGGATGATGGATGGTGTCGTCGACCAGTGTCTTGTCGCTGTAGCTCTTCGCGCACTATTGCCCTGATAGTAGCGGCAAGGTTGGCAGGCGGGCTTACGACGACGCTGGCAACTGTTGTTAAATTTGCCAGCCTACCGAATTTGGGGACAATACGACAGGTCTTCAGCTTCTCGAAAGTACGGCAGTGACGTTGGACGGCGGAGACGGAAGTGAGGTCTTCCCTGCCTAACAAAAAAATTGTAGACGTCCTCTGCTATACCCTTCAGAAGCTGTCCGACCATGTGCTCTTCAGACATATACGGGTCTATGATCTTGCAGAGCATCAGAACCTCCTCTATGTAGGTGGTACACGTTTCTACAGGAGTCTGAGCTCTTTGATTCAACGTGTGCTCCACGCTTTTCTTTTTCGAATCAGAGTCGCCGAAGCATTTCTTGAGCTCTTTGGCGAAACAATCCCACGTTGTTGAGGAATATTCGTGGTTTTCGTACCACATCAAGGCGGTTTCCATGTGAAACAGCACGACATTTCCCAGTTGGTCGGTGGGATCCCAGCCGTTGTACCGGCTCACCCTTTTGTAATGTGTCAGCCACGCATCCACATCTTCCCCTGCTTTCCCGCGAACGGGCGGGGTTCCATATAGCGATACCGAGGTGCAGCCGGCACTGACCTTTACGTGGTTGAGAAGCCGTGACATTCCCTCTCGGCCATGACGGTTGTTGTTGGTGGCAGACCAGCAAGACGACGGCTCCGGCGAAGTTCAAACAGCTGTGGCTCCGTGGTTCGTCAACGTGCTGTATCCAGCACCTCCACCACTCTGTTACGTTTAGAAATGTGTTTATTACGCTGTGGCGTACTGGTAGACTTGAAGGGGTCGTGCACAGGAGGCCTATCTCGCTAGCCGAACATCCTCTTTTCTAATCTGCCTGTTCCCCGCTATCCTGAGGCTCATACCCAAATCACATATGCATTACAATATGTTCTAACAAGAGCTGCATTACGATTTGTACAGCAAGTGCAATAAGGTTTCATCAAAAGCCTGTCCTTACTTTTCAGACGGTTGCAGGTAATTGAGCAGCCATGAGCAATGAGCAGCCATGAGTTGTGATAAGCCCACTGCCTATCGAAACTGTTCCTAGCATGTTGCGATGTACAGTCACTCACATTACTTATGAGACAAACCTTGTGCATGATTTTTCGCTATACCTAGTGCTCCACGAAAGTAAGTGAACAATTACAGAATGCTGATTCCTCATTGTGTGTTACTTTTTGTTATTTTTGCTTGCAACCATATCTTAAAACGGCACAGATACACCAAACACACGTGCAAGTATACACCACACTTTCAGGGCAATAGGTTCAATGGATAGTTGCCTTGTTGCCATTGGCACGCTATCCCTGGAAGTATAATGCATGATATTCAAGTGACTTGGGTAAACATTTTGTTGTTGGCAACATCCAGGAACCCGTGGAGACCTGCATAACTTATTTAATGAGTTTTGTTGGCTGAGTGCTATAATTAGAAAACATGAATCTGAGCATGTATGGGTGCTGTCTATACATGTATATTCTTTGTACTTTATCTACAAAGTGCAAGGGTACTTCCTGAACAAGAAAGCAGCTACTAGGTGACCACTGTTTAGTGATTGTCAGGCATATTACGATGTTAGTGGAATGTTTAATCTGACAATAATGCAAGTAAGCAGCAAACACTTGTTCCAGTTGATAAATTCGCCCTTGCGCGGTCAATTGCTATCTTCCTGGTCAGTTCATTTGATAGGGTGACCGCCCGGAAAGGCGTTGTTCCCGGGTTTGTACCCCGAACTAGGACGAACTTTTCGGAAAGAAGCTTTTGTTTCTGAGAAATCCGCAAGGATTTTCTTGTGACTTCATGCTACAAACGGGTGTTCGTCTATTTTCCCTTTCTTAATCTGATGCTGGTCGCTCACTAGTACGCATCTTCATCTATGCCCTAAATTCTTGACTACATTAGCGACCGCAACTAGAATTCGTACTTGGCTCATGAGATTGGGCAGAAGACGAGGGTAATATGGGCAGCTTGAAGGGCTGGAAACTGTTCTTGAACAGGGAATATAACTGGAGCCAACATTTCGGGTAGGTCCTATTATTGTCATGGTACCCAGTACAAGGCAGTTTGCATGTCTAGTGCAGTGATGCTACCATGTGGGCAAATGAAAAGCTTGCAATCAATAAATAGCTAAAAAAACTGAAACAAAAAAATGCACAACGGAGCTTGCTAGTTGAGAGCTATTTGCTTTTTTGTTTAGGTACCAAGCTTATTTTTAATCATGGAACCGCATGGTGTAAATTGCATATCACTGTGGGCCCGAATGAAGATTTTCTGAAATTTGTGATTTTTCTGCACAATATTGCGGGGAAGAAAATGGAGTCAGGACATGACGAAATTTTGGAAGGTGCACGAGTGCATAACAGAAAAATTACAATAACCTAACTGCGCTATAAATAAATATTGAGTTGCAGAGACTTGAGGGATCTCGCCACTTAATTTTCCAGGGTCAAAGCAGAGTGGCGATGGCTGCGTGCGTCCTAGCCACCAGGCACGAGGACACGTTCTAATCTAGCACGCGCCTCGAGTTCCGAGCATGAGCAGCGAAAGAGGCGCAGCGCGGTGACTAATGAGTGATGATAATGATGATGAAGGCGTTACAGCCCTCCTCCCCCCCTAGTGTTTTGCGCAATATGAAAGGTATATACAAAAGAAAGAGAGGGAAAGATACTATAATTAATATATACATGAACGACAATCCGTCGGGTGTCCATTGTGAAGTCCAGGTTGTCAACGGGAATGCGCCATCGGGAACCAGCGGGTCTCTTGCAGACGGTTCTGGGAATGGTGCAGCAGACGAGGATCACGACGGCGCACTGTTGGGAGGAACGAGTGAAAGGGATAGCAGAAAAATGAGCCGTGGGCCGAGAAGTTCCGCAGTGCTGCATAA